CCCAGGCACCCAGGAGTCGCGCCCGTTTTGGCCCCATGTGCATGCCCTTCGTGGCCCTGCTGTCGCAATTTGTGTCCCCCTCATTGTCCTGCGTGGCCCAGTTGCTACCCTCAGTGGCCCCATAGTTACCTTCCGTGGCCCCGAATTATCTGCACTTCGTGGCCCCCGCTCGTTCGCTCTCTTCGTGGCCCCATACGCATTCCCTTCGTGTCCCCGCTGTCGCCCTTCGTGGCCCACTTCGTGCCCTTCGTGGCCCTGCTGTCGTTCTCTCTCGCTCTCGCTTTCGCTCGTCGTCGCCGTCGTTGTCGTCGCCGTCGTCTTCAACGTCGTCGTCGTCGTCGTCGTCGTCGTCGTCGTCGTCGTCGTCGTCGTCGTCGTCGTCGTCGTGGTCGGTCCCCTGTCCGTCCCTCTTGGGGTCGGGTCGACGGTCCGCGGCCGCCCCGCCGATCAGCGCTGCCGCTGGCCAGGCCGACGGTCCGCGGCCGCCCCGCCGCTTGCCGGGGCCCGGCCTGCAGGGAAGAAAGGTATACCCCCCAAAAGGGGTTCGATCGAAGACGAATAGGGCGGGTATCGAGGGTTTGGGAAATACGCGTTATTGGACACTCGAGCATATAAGACCGATCAATCTTAACATTATTATTAGTATTATTGTTGTTGTGGTAGTTGTTATGGTTACTGCTTGTTCTTGTGTTTGGTCTTGCTTGTTCCGTGCGCGGCGCCCTCAGGACGTGCCGGGTCTGCTCTTGATGGCGCCTGCGGGCCAGGGGCGACCTCCCGAGGCCGACATCTGAGCACTTTCTTGGGGTGGAGGGCTCAGTGTGAAGTCCGCCTGGGCTCTTGCACCTCGAAGCTCGGGCCGGACGAAAGGGGAGGATTGGGAAAGGGGGGGGTACGAAATTTACTGCATGCAGCTGGTTTCGGCCCCACCGAGGCGCCCATTCCTCGATACATAGCCGCCTCCGGCGCCGGGAGGCTCTGCGAAACTCAGCTACGTGAGCTGACTCTCACCCCCCCCCTTTGCTATCCCCCCCTTTCGCCGAACCCGAGAAGATCAATACGTCCTGTGATTTACCCTGTGCAGATTCAAGCCTCGAAGATCCATCGAAAAGACATTTCAGACTTCGCCCTTTGCCATCCACCCGAACAGAATACGCGGGAATTCGCGAACGGCCGCTGGAATGAAGAAAATCATGACGTCGGAGATCCATGCGAACACTTTCTGCGTCGCAGCGCGGCAGAGAGTTTTCCAAATGCAAGAAGAGAGGACGGGGCAGGCAGGAGCCATCGCGGGAGGAGGGGAAGGGCCTCATGGCGAGTGGAAGGCACGGGGTGACGATGCCAGGCAGGATAGCCCACCTCCCCCTTCTGGTGGTAGCCCATGGGAGCCAGGCGCACTGCTTTGCTGGCTCGTGCGAATCGACGCTCATCGGCGCCAGTCGGCGCCACTCAACGCTCAGTCTACGCGAATCGAGGCTCACCGACGCTACATCGGCGTCACCTCATCGAGGACCGAACGCTAACCGACGCCAATGCACTCTGAAGACGGAACTGCAACGCGACACGAGGCTCCCGTGATTGACTGCCGACCCCCCCACCCTTCCAGGAGAGCCCAGAATCGAATCGATACGTCGGATCGGCAATCGAAATCAATCGTATCGGCGAACATCTGCAGCCGAATCGGGAAAAATCGCATTTGCGAAACCCGGCAGTTCAGTGGCCCCCCCCCCCCCGCACGGAATCGGAACCCAGAGCGGAATCCGAAGTCGAATCGAATCGGATCGGAGGGATCGAAACGAGCCCTGCCCTCAGGTCGGGCATGTCCCCCTAAAGGCGGACCTTGGACGAAAAAAGAAGATGTGCCAAAACATATTCCCAAATGGTCAAGAGTAGTCCAGCAAAAGACCGTCCCCAGACTATTGCTTTACTATGTTTGAATATTCCTCCTGTAGATGGACAGCGAGGAGGGTATCCGAAAACCATACTATTTACATGGTTTCGTGCCCCTCCTCCCTTCCAGCGGGGCCCCGCCAAAGCGAGGAGGGCATCAAGAAAATGGGCCCCACGAAATCGTTAATCTCTTTATGTGGGGGACTCCGTTAGCATAATTTTACTATGTTTGAATATTCCTCCTGTAGAGGGACAGGTCCGACTTCACCCTGCCGCGCCCCCGCCCTCGCGGGGCGGGGTCTGTCCTTCAGCCTGGCGATGGTGGTCTGGGCGCGCGCGCGCGGGGGCCCCGCCGCCGCCGCCGCGGAGAGGCGGGGGCGGGAGGGGGAGGAGGGTGCCTCGAGCTCTGGTCAAGAGGGGACGGGGGAGGAGGAGGAGGAGGAGGAGGAGGAGGAGGAGGAGGAGGAGGAGGAGGAGAGGAGAGGAGGAGGAGGAGAATGAGGATGGGGAGGAGGAAGAGGAAGGAGGAAATGGGAGATGGCAGAGGAGGAAGAGGAGAGGAGGAGGAGGAGGAGGGAGGAGAGGTAGGAGTGAGGAGGAAGGAGAGAGGAGAGATGGAGGAAGAGGATGAGGAGGACGCGGGAGGAGTGAAGGAGGGAGGAGGAGAGGAGAGGAGAGGGATAAGGAGGAGGGGCGGAGGAACCGGAGGAGGGGGTGTTTCGCGCCGTCGGATCCCGGGCGCCAGCGCATGGTGGCCCGCGGCACGTGCGAGGACGAGGGGGGCGCCGGGGGAGCGTCGAGGAAAGAGGCAGGAGCTATCGGATCTGGAGGTGTCGTGGCCCCGCGCCAGGGCGTCGCCGAGCGAGGACCGAAGGGGTCCCGAGGGAGACGGGCTCCGGGGCCCCTGGGCTCGAAAGGGACAGAACCGCGGGAAGGATCGCACTCCTGATCCTGTCACCTCCTCCTCCTCCTCCCCCACCTCCTCCTCCCCTCCTCTTCCTCCTCCTCCTCCTCCCCCTCCCCTCCTCCTCCTCCCTCCCCCACCTCCTCCCTCCTCCTCCTCCTCTTTTCCTCCTCCTCCTCCCCCTCCTCCTCCTCCTCCTCCTCAGAAGGCGGCGGGGCTTCCTAGAAGCCCTCGCGCCTTCTGAGAAGTTCTCTGTGTCTTCGGGGCAGGATGCGAAGACTTCTCAGAAGGCTGGGGCACTTCCGAGCCTTCTGAGAAGGCCTTCCCCTTCTCATTCCCCCCCACCCCCCGCTCGCCGCCGAAAGGAGAAATTAGGTCTAGAAAGGTCCTGACGGAACCCCGGCTTTCCCGCCCCGGGCCGCTTTTTCCTGGCGGTCCCGCAGGGCCGTTCCAGAAAGGAGAGGTCCCGCGGAGGAGCCGAGGGCGGGGAAAGGCATTGGATGCCCCTGTCACTCAGCTTCCCATGCTGCTCTTCATGGCCAGGGGTGTGGATAGAAGAAGAATGCTCAGAGTAGTAACAAGACGATGTCTGGACAAGACGCATGAGAAGACAGACTAACGAAAGAGGCAACCAGTTGCACGGATGCGGACCATGAGACAGAAGAAGCATAACAATGCTACGAAGCGGCAACGACATCAACTCTCGGAGGTCCGAGCGAGTTTCTTGGACTGGCGCTGGCGTGCCGGAGGCAACACCAGAGGAGTCGGGCGCCGATCCCAGAGGTCCATACGGACCTCCGAACCGCTGTGCCCCTGCCGCTTTCCCGGACCCCCGACGTCGTCTTTTCGCACAGGAGGTCTAGATCCCTCTCCCAGGGACCTGTTCTTCACCCATCCACATGATGTGTGCTGACGGTCCCGAGGCCCGTTGAGGGCCCCCGGAGGCCGAACGCAGCGAGCGAAAACCCTTCCGTCGCGGTCTCTGTCACGACGCAACGGGGTCCGGGCTCTCGTCCTCGAGGGGAGAAGGTCCGATCAGCAGCAGCGGGAGAACACCCGGGTCCCAGATGCGGCCCCGGTCGCTTCCGCGGGGAGAGACCGGTACCGCTGCTCCTCCTCGCCATCGTAATCCCGCCTCCATCTCCTCCATCCTCTTCTATCCTTCTCCTTTCTCATCCTTTCTCCTTCTCCTCCTCCTCCTCCTCCTCCTCCTCCTCCTCCTCCTCGTCCTCCTCCAGCCTGCCCATCCTCGTCTTCCTCGTCCTCCCCGTCCTCTCCGTCCTCCTCCTCGTCCTCCTCCTCCTCCTCCTCCTCCTCCTCCTCCTCTTCCTCGTCCTTTTCCTCGTCCTCCTCGTCCTCCTCGTCCTCCTCGTCTTCCTCCCCCTCCTCCTCCTCGTCCTCCTCCTCCTCGTCCTCCTCCAGCATGCCCCCCTCCTCGAGTCCGCCCCCCCCCGCCTAGCCCGCCTGGCAGACGACAAGGCCGCCCTGCCCCGGGATCCATCCCCCTTCCGGCCGCCGGCGGCCTCTTCCCGCGTGCGCTCCGACCAAAACGTCGAGGAGGAAGCTCCGAGCACGGGATCGACTGCAGTACAGCTGGGCCGCTGCGAGCAGGCGCGCTGAGTGAGGAACGGAGCCCCCTCTCGGCCCCGGGAGGCGCCTCCGTGCCCCGGGAGGGCAAGCGAAGCAGCAACCGAGGAACCTGCGGAGCGTCGGGCGCCGTCAGAACGGCAGCTGTTCCCTCGTGCAGCCTCTTGACGGTGTGGATCTACCTCAGACTTCGATGTCCCGTCCAGTCTTCGATCTAAGCAGACACAGAACGCTGAGCATGTTTACGAGCGCTCGACGGGTTGCTTTCGCAGATTCGACGAGCGAGTCCGGCATGGGGCAGCTCAATTCTGCCGCCGTGCCCCTGCTCGAAACAAGCTTCCCGCGGCGGCGAGGGCCCTCCCCGGGACGCGCAGCTGCCTCTCGGTAAACCTCGGTCCTCCTCCTCGCCGACCGCGGCACCAGGCAGGGAGCACACCCCCTCCTCCTCCCCCTCCCCCTCCTCCTCCTCCTCCTCCTCCTCCTCCTCCCCCTCCCCCTCCTCCTCCTCCTCCTCCTCTCCTCCTCCTCCCTCCCTCCCTCCTCCCTCCCTCCCTCCCTCCCTCCTCCCTACTCCTCCTCCTCCTCCTCCTCCTCCTCTCCTCCTCCTCTCCTCCTCCTCCTCCTCCTCCTCCTCCTCCTCCTCCTCCTCCTCCTCCACCCCGGCGCTCTCACAGCGCGGCGCCGGCGGAGGAGGCCCTGGCGGGAGACGTCCTGAGAGAACGCAAACAGGTCATACCGTCGGGCCGTAGGGGAGGGATGCGCGAGAGGGATGCAAAAGGGGCTCGGGCGCCCATGTCGAGCAGGGGCGCGGCCAGCGAAAGTGGCCAAGGATGCGCACAGGATGCGGGCTTTCCGAGCGGGGCGCGGCCAACGAAAGTGGCCAAGGATGGGCCGAGGAGGCAAGGAAGGATACCCTTTGAGAAGGTTGCCCATCCTTACTGTGCGGGTTAACTGTACATAGATTTCTCGGATCTGGCGCGCTCCGCGCGGCAAGGAAAAGCCCCGATCCAGAACATCCGCGCGGATCACCCCTGAGATCCGACGGCGCGAAAAACATGGAACACCGTGAAAAACTCGATGAGAGCCCCAGACTCCACGTTTCTGCTGCACTTTTCGAGCCGGATCGATGCGCCAGGGTCCCGGGGCTCGAAACACACCGCGACGACAGGATCTCAGGGGGGGTGGGCGGGGGGGGGGGGGGCGAAGAGCAGTCCCAAGAACTCCGCGCGGGGAACCATGAACTTTTGCTTAGCGCGTGGCGGCGGCGGCGACACGCCATGCCATGCCTTGCAAGCGGACGGCGTGTCGCTCCGCTGCGCGGGGCGGGAGGCTGGGAAGAACTCGGGACGTTGACGCTTGGTGGGCCAGGACACGGATGGCATGTCTCGCCGAAGCGCAGTGGGCCAGAACCAGCGGCGCGACAATCGAAGTTGATTGGAGAGGACACGCGAGAGGACACAAGACCCTTCCGAGGGCGACGTTGCCATGGGAACGTAAAGGCATGGGCCGCGAAACACAATACGCAAGGGCTGGAGGCGGCGGCCAGGGGGTCTGATTGGTTGGGACCCCAGACTTGGTCAGGAGGGGGGACGGAGCCAAATCATCCACTCAAAATCGGTCCCCCGACCCCTCCAGGGGCTATGTTTTTTCCCCCGTGTGACCGTCGCGTGGTCCATGGGGTGGCGATACACGATCGCCCTCGCACTGCGCGACGCCGAGAAATCCGTTGATGATCGGTCCCCAGACCCCTCTCGGGGTCCATCCTTCTTCCCCCGTGTCCGTTTTTGACGGTCCAGAGCCCGAGGCTTCGGCCCGAGGCAGAGGGACAGGCAATACAATCCTTCCGAACCCAGCGCTTGAGACGAAGCCAGGGCGAGGATGAAACTTGGTGGGGACGAATCGGCAATCTCTGAGAACAGGCGGCTCTGGGGGATGTCTCGGGCACCGCGGCCTTCTCAAAGCGTTCCGGAACGCTCTGGAACGGATGCATCCTCGTCCTAGCCCCCTTCCGATGCCCCCCCTTCCTGTTGGCCGGAACAAAGGCTGGGCCATCTCAGACCCCAGCCGGCTCCATCGCGAGGCTACTCATGATCTGGCAGGGTCGACCTACGACTAGGTCGGGCATGTCCTCCTACAGGCGGATTTGGGAGGAAAGAAATAAAATATCCCAAAACATACACAGCAATGACTTAAGAATAATGCGACAATCGTCCCCTCACTGTTTGCTTAAAACGTGTTGTTTGAATCTTTTCCTCCTATAGAGGAACACGCCCGACTGAAACCTACGAGTCACATTCGTTACCAGCCTCGAACGTATCCCTATCCCTAAGATTGACACGCCAAAAGGCGATGACAATCTTAGGGATTCGCCCTCAAAAAATAAGGGAATCCCTAAGATTGGCATCGTGATGAGGAGGTGCCCAGCAGAAGGATAGGGATAGGTTCCAGGCTGGAAAATTCGACCGTATGCGGTCGGCCCTTCCTCGCGCCGCGTCCTCCGCAGCGGCTCCGGCGAGCGGCTGCACGAGGGCCGCGCGCAGCCCCGATGCCACCTCGGCGAGGGGGCCACCTGCGCGGCGGCGCGCCAGCGATCGGTACGGCCGAGGAAAACGTACCAAATACCCCCGACCTTCTAGGAGAGCTGACAAATAGCACCAGGACATCGCTTTCCTAATCTCTAGCGAGGTAGGTTCATAGGTCTGGAGTGCTAGTTTCAGCACTCTGGAAGGTCAGGGACATCTGCCCCCCCTCGCCCGTTTTCCCAATTTCGTTGCCTCCTTGGAGGCCCTCGTCGCCACCGCTGGACTAGCCTCGAACTCCTGGCCAGAACGCACCCCAGGACAGGTCCGAGGGGGTAACGGTATCGGTGCCCTGTGGTTTCCTCAGGACGGGGACAACGACTGCCAGCAGCTCCCGGCCGCTTGGAACAGGACTCGCTGTCTCGGTGCCGCCGCTGGCGTTGGGGTCATATGTGGAGCAGAAGGCTGCCTGCCCGACAGCGGCCCGGTGCTGGACGACACGTGGGGCTGGGCATCGTACACGTGTTTTTCCGTACCCCTTGCGTGGCAAACCAAAAAGTAACAATAACTTGGGTGGGGACCACCACGTGGGGCCGCCATTGGAGCCCTGCGTGGCCAGGAGGGCACACCTAGTAGCAAAGGCGTGCACCTAGGCCGCCCGTGGCCACGGCGTTTCCTTCTGCCGTCCTCCTCCTCCTCCTCCTCGTCCTCCTCCTCCGCCTCCTCCTCCTCCTCCTCCTCCTCCCGGGGTGCGTTCTGACAAGGATTTCGAGGCGAATCCAGCCCTGGCGACCAGGGCCTCCGAGGAGGACCCAGCAAGGGAAAACGGGCGAAGGGCAGCGGTATGGGGTACCTTTGCCTTCGCTGATTTCCGTGGCCCTTGCAGAACGCAGGGGCGGGGGGCGGCTTCCCAGACCCCCTCGCGTCGCGAGGAAGAAACCCGACGGGAGACCCCTTCTTTACAATGTTTTCGGCCTCTGGGGGCCCCTCAGCAGGCCGCGGGGCCTTCGAGACACAGCTCGAGGATGCAACGCCAGTCCCGGGCAAGGGGTCCAGTCCCCTGGAGATCCACGCGACGAAACATTGTCCTGGACAAGGACCCAACCATAGGCAGCTGTGAGTACTGCAATTGTGAATCTCTTCTTCGGTGGAGCTCCCTTTGGGGCCACGAAGCGCTGCACTGGGTGGGGGGGAAACGCATGCGGGCGGTAGCACTGGGGCCGTCGGTGGAGCTCCGCATGAGCTCCCTATGGGGCCACGTAGCGCAGTACTGGGAAGGGGGACGCATGCGGGCGGTAGCACTGGGACCTTCGGTGGAGCTCCCTATGGGGCCACGAAACACTGTACTGGATGTGGGGGACGCATGCGGGCGGTAGCACTGGGGCCGTCGATGGAGCTCCCTATAGCGGCACGAAACGCTGTACTGGGTGGGGGGACTCATGCGGGCGGTAGCACTGGGGCAGTCGGTGAAGCTTCCTATGGACCCACGAAGCGCTGTACTGGGTGGGGAGACGCATGCGGGCGGTAGCACTGGGGCAGTCGGTGGAGCTTCCTATGGGCCACGAAGCGCTGTACTGGGTGGGGGGCACGCATGCGGGCGGTAGCGCTCGGACCTTCGGTGGAGCTCCCCACGGGGCCACGAAACGCTGTACTGTGTGCGTAGGGGGGACGCATGCGGGCGGTTGCACTGGGGACTTCGGTGGAGCTCCCGATGGACCACGAAACGATGTACTGAGTGAGGGGGACGCGTGCGGGCGGTAGCGCTGGGACCTGTTGTGGAGCTCCCTATGGGGCCACGAAACGCTGTACTGCGTGGGGGGACGCATGCGGGCGGTAGCACAGGGCCCATCGGTGGAGCTCCCTTTGGGGCCACGAAAACACTGTACTGGGTGGGGGGGGGGGGCGAATGCGGGCGGTAGCACTGGGGCAGTCGGTGGAGCGTGGGGCCACGAAACGCTGTGGGGCGGGGGCGCATGCGGGCGGTATCACTGGGACCTTCGGTGGGGCTCCCTGTGGGCCACGAAATGTGTGAGGGGTGTGCTGAAACGGGTGATGACGATGATGACGATGCTGACGATGATGATGATGATGATGATGAAGATGATGAAGATGATGATGATGGTGATGATGGCGATGATGATGATGATGATGATGATGATGATGATGATGATGATGATGGTGATGATGATGGTGATGATAGTGATGATGATGATGATGCTGATGCTGATGCTGATGATGATCATGATCATGATCATGATGATGATGATGATGATGATGATGATGATGATGATGATGATGATGATGATGATGATGATAAAGAAGAAGAAGAATAAGAAGAAGAAGAAGAATAATAAGAAGAAGAAGAAGAAGAATAAGAAGAAGAAGAAGAGGGGGGGGCAGCGGGCGGAGTGAACGCGGGGACCGTCCCTTCACAACGAGGACCCCACACCACAGGATGGTTGGACAAGAATCACGACGGCCGGGGCCTGGGGTCACGGGAGGGCCCAGAGGCTGCTGCGAGGGCCTCTCGGCTCGGCGGGAGAGGCCCGAGAGGCCCAGTGCCGCCCAAGCAAGGCCCCGGGGCTTCGGCTCCCCAAGATCCGCCAGAAGAATCTGACAGGCCCACTGCCAAGGGCTCCCAACTTCGCGCTTCGCGCTGCGCGAAGCGCGAATAACTTCGCGCTCTCGCGCCGCCCCCCCAAAGGGAGAACAGGAGGACGAGGAGGAGGGGGAGGAGGAACGAGGACCGCGAAGCGCGAAGCGCGAATAACTTCGCGCCCTCGAGGGAGCCCTTGCACTGCCGTCTTGGAAGCCCCACCCCGCCGCCCACGGCCTCCGCTGCACTCCGCCGTTTGACACACACGTGCAACGTCACTGCAGGGAAGCACGACTGGACCCCTTGAGAACCAGTGCGCTCGCAACATCTTCTCCGTGCCGGGTCGACCAGAGAGGGTCCTGGGGCCCGACGCGAAGGTCGAGGAGGAGGAGGAGGAGCAGGAGGAGGAGGAGGAGGAGGAGGGGGAGGAGGAGCAGGAGGAGGAAGATGAGGAGGAGGAGGAGGAGGAGGAGGAGGAGGAGGAGGGAGGAGGAGGAGGAGGAGGGGGATCGTCTCGCAACGGGCAATTCATCGCTCGTGGCGACGACGACTGCGACGCCCCGCCCGCTTGCGCTCGCCGCCCGACGCGCCTGCTTGGCCACGGGCGCCGGCCGCCCCGGCGACGCCTCGCACGGGCGACGGGCGTGTCCATACCCGCGCCCTCGCGGTCTGGACTCCGGGGCGCGATCCCGTGGATACAGTCATCGGCCTGACCCAAGGAACGATAAATAAGGAACGAAGCCCCTGTTTTCCAAGGAAAAAAGCATAAGGAACGATAAAAAAACGCACAAGGAAGGATACGTAACGCATGCAAGCCTTAAGGAACGACCGAGCCCCTTTTCAAAAGTAAGTGCTCCTTACTCAAGCCGCTCACTGTACGCGGCTGAGCATCGCTGCACCATGTCTTGCCGATCCCTCATCCCCACTGGCGCTGACTTGGCCCCAACTGGCCGCATGCCACCCTGAGGTGGGGATAGACGCCGTGCTCGTCAGGCCTTCGGGTGTCGCGGGGCCAACACCCCCAACTGGGGGATGGGGATTGTGGGGCTAAGATGCCGCGGCCTGGTAGGGATGGGGTTCTGGGCCTCTCAGATGGGATCGGACTGGACGGGGTCGGAGGATCGCGCCGCATCGCCGATGCGGATCGATATGGAGCCCGTGTTCCGCACATCGACGTCGCCGATGCTCGCTGACGTCGTCGATGCATCGCCGGCGCATCGCCGATGCATCGCCGATGCATCGGCGATGCGGCGCGATCATCCGACCAGATCCACTCGGATCCCATCTAGGAGGCGTCCAGGGGATCGGCGAAACGCTACTGAGCAGTCGCATGGATACGCTCCCCGCGCCGCGAACAAAACGCCCTGGATCCACTGGGTCCCGGCCCAGGGGCCGGGCTCTCGAGGCCGTGGACACGGATGTGCTTCCTCCGACTGAACGCAAAAAGTGACCCATTGGGCAAGAGGGACCTTCGGTGGCAACTCACGGGAGCCTCCCATACGATCTTGTCGGCTCTTGCAAATCGACGCGAATCGACGCTAGATCAACGCTCATCGACGCCAGTCCACGCTAAATCGACGCTAGTCGACGCTAGATCGGCGGTAGCCGACGCTAAAGACGGGAGTAAGATGGACTACCAAACTCCCATGGTTTGCTGCCGAAAAAGACCTTTGGTGCGCAGCTCCCGGGGACCGCGAAGGGCAAACATCCAAGCGCGCGGACCGATGCCGGGGCCAACCCTGTGAGCCCGCACCAAGCCCAGACATCCGGCCGCTCCAAATCCCACCAGCCCTCTGGGCGTAGGCGGTCTGGGGCAACTCCTCTTCCAAACCCCGTTTTCCCCTTCGGGGAGGAGTTTATCCCTGTTCCCTATTACTATACACCTCCTCCTCCAGGCGACTGGGAGCCAACCCGAGACCATGCGGGCCCCCCCACCATCCCTGGCACAAAAAACAATACAAAACACACTCTGCCTCCAAATTCGGAGCATGCGCAGTGAACCCGATGCGGCCTGCCTCCCCCCACCATCTTTGTCAAAAAACAATACAGGGTACACTTGGCGGCGGCGGCGGCGGCTGCGGCGGCGGCGGCGGCGGCGGCGGCGGCGGCAGCGGCTGCGGCGGCAGCGGCTGCGGCGGCGGCGATTCGGCAGCGGGGGCGGCGGCGGCGGCGGCGCGGGCGGCGGTGCGGCGCGGCGCGGGACAGCGGGCGGCGGCGGCGGCGGCGGCGGCGCGGCGTCGGCGGCGGCGGCGGGCGGCGGGCGGCGGCGGCGGCGGCGGAGGTGGCGGCGGCGTATTCGCCCCCAGTAGCTGCCCATCCAAAGACGACCGCTGAATAGGCTGCGGCTCGGGCCAGGCTCAGGTGCTACGTATGTGTTGGGAGGGCAGGTGGGAGTGAGCGAGACGGCTTGCGGGCGAGGGGGGAGTCTTGACCCCTTCCCCTACCCCCTACCCT